AGATAGCTGAACTTAAGCATGAAACCTACCAAGTGCCAACCGAGACCCGCATTCCGAAACTCTACAAAATCATTCAAAGCGCACCTGCCGGGTCCAGGGCTGCAGACTTCGATCAGGGCTTGCCGCAGGGCGGTCCGGACAAGTGGCCCGACGGCTCTTTTGGAGAGCTGCTATACTATACAAGCATACTAGACTCGAAGATACGCTAATTTTCTGGAAATATACGATAATGTAAAAAATAACTATAGTAACCCCTTCAAATCTTCTCCGTAACGCTTGCGCGGGCTTGCGGTGCTTCCTCACGATCTTCATCCAGGTTGCCCTCACCGGTGCAAAGCTCACTTGAGTTCTGGCCTCGACCGCGTTTGATGCTGGGAGTTTCTTGGGCCGCAGGGTGCGATTTAGGGCTTTTGGGGCTTGCGATTTAGGGTTGAGAATGATGTGGAAGCGGGCTTGCCCCACTGGCCCCGAGCACCTCACGAAGATCGGGATCAGAACCCAGGATCAATAAAGCTCAACCTCCGTAGGGCAGGTGGTGCATGACCGGAGTCGCCGTGCCAGCGCACCCTCAGAAGTTCCTCTCTCTCTCCGGGACCCCGCCGGGCCTTCCCCCGGTAGCTTCCACGATGGCCTGTACAGGACAAGGCTTCAGAAACCGCGCACGAGCCCTGCAAACCGCCCAGGCCTGCTCGCACTCGGCGGGGATCTTGTTTCCGTAGAGCTCAATTTCGCGAACTGTTGTGTTGCTCTTCAGAGCCTCTGCAAGCGCCTTGCAGGGAAACGGCAAGACAGCGGTGGCTACTGCTGGCGGAGCTTTGAAACCACCAGACCCGTCTGCTTGTGTCAATCCCTGACACCACCGGGCCTGGCCACCCTTCACGCCGATGTTGTTGTTTTGCAGGTTGATGCCGGCGAGCGTCGAGTTGGTCTTCAGAGCTTCGCCAATCGCCTCACTCGGGAAAGAAACCCTGCTCGAGCAAATCTGACCTGCCTGAAGCCCACCGCGCCTGCGCGCCCTCATCGCCGATGTGGTCGCGTTTGAAGTTGATGCTGGCGAGCGTTGAGTTGGTCCTCAACGCTTCGGCGATCGCCTCATGCGGGAAACATACCCCGCTGCAGCAGCACTCACCTCTCTGCCAACCAGGCCTTCCCACCCTCATTGCCGATGTCATTGTTGAAAAGGTCGATGCTGGTGACTGTGGAGTTGGTCTTCAACGCTTTGCAGATCGCCTCGCGCAGAACAGATGCAACCCTTCGCCAGCACTAACCTCTTTGAAGCCCACCGGGCCTCTACCTTTCGGACGTCGTGACCAATGCAATGGAAGGTCAACTTGCTGGGGTTGCAGTGCACGTTCAATTGCTCTGCGAGGACCTGCAGAGTGAGTGGCACGCGGCTCCCCCGGTGGCTGATGGCGGGCTCGGCACCGGTCCTCTATGCGCACTCGCCCCGTCCAAGCCTTTACAGCTTCCGGAGCCTTATTTACAGCGCCCAAGCAGGCGGGCATGGGCCCAGTTTCAATGTAGATCACTCAGAGCTGCACTGTGGCCGTACTTGCAGCCTGCCAACAGTGTTGAGAACGTGCAATCTGGCTCGGCTCTCCCTCTCAAAGTTGTCATGGGTCCAGCTTGCCAGATGCGGGTTCAAGCCATGCAGTAAGGGACAATCACAGAGACAGCCTGGTCTGGGTGACATCTTCTCCAGGGTGAAGGCATGACACAGCACGCGCAGGCATCATGCGAAGGCATGCACCCGAGAGCCTCGGCCGCCCGAGAATCCACGAGTCGGTGTGGGCACCTCTTCTCTATCTCCGCAAGCACCTGGCGAGGAGAAGAACAAGCGCATGTTTGAACGACTGGGCCACATCACCGCCTCATCGCTGATGTCGTTGCCTTGGAGGCTGATGCTGGTGAGCGTGGAGTTGCTCTTCAGCGTTTCGGCGATCGCCTCGCTCAGGAAAGCAACCCTGCTCCAGCAGCACTCTCTGAAGCCCTACCGGGCCTTCCCGCCCTCAACGCCGATGCGGGTGTGAGCGAGTTGAATCCTGGTGAGTGTGGAGTTGCTCCTCAGTGCTTCGGCGATCGCCTCAGGCGGGAAAGATACCCGGCTGCAGCAGCACACACCTCTCTGAAGCCAACCAGGCCTTCCCACCCTCAAGATACTCTGCTGTAGCACCCACACCAACAACAAGGCCTCTCCACCCTCATCTCCGATGTCGTTGCTGAAAAGGTCGATGCTGGTGAGCGTGGAGTTGCTCTTCAACGCTTCGCAGATCGCCTCACTCGGGAAAGATACCCCGCTGCAGCAGCACTCACCTCTCTGAAGCCAACCAGGCCTTCCCACCCTGATTGCCGATGTCGTTGACACCGAGCCAAATACTGGTGAGTGTGGAGTTGCTCCTCAACGCTTCGGCGATCGCCTCACACGGGGAAGCAACCTTGCACCAGCAGCACTGACCCGCCTGAAGCCCTACCGGGCCTTGCCACAGCACTGAACCACCGCGCCTGCGCACCCTCGTCGTGGATGTCGTTGCCTTCGAGGTCGATGCTGGCGAGCGTCGAGTTCGTCCTCAAAGCTTCGCAGATTGCCTCACGCGGGAAAGAAACCCTGCTCCAGCAGCGCTGACCTGTCTCAAGCCCCGCAGGCCTTGCAACCTTCCACGTCGATGTCGTTGCCTCCGAGGTTGATGCTGGTGAGGGTGGAGTTTCTCCTCAACGCTTCGGCGATCGCCTCACGCGGGAAAGAAACCGTGATCCAGCAGCACCAACCTGTCTGAAGCCCAAAAGCCTTTCCGAATTCACTTCAAGTCAAAGCTGTTGACTCCCCCGTGCCTCCCATAGAAAACCATATCCATGCTCGCCAGACCTCCTCAGGCCACATATCTCGAGCTCGCGAATCGTTTCGTTCCGTGCTAGCGCCTGACGTGCACATGCAGGCTCAAACGGTCTTAGACCTCCGAGGCACGCAGCGCGCGCACAGACTGCCTTGGACCTGCGAAGCCCGGCCTGCGCGAACTCTCCAGCTTCTGCTCGGCCAACCTTAAAGTCCCGGAGCCTCAGCACCCTCAGCTTCTTGAAGTAAGGCAGGGCCTTTGCCAGCTGCCCCAGCTGCCCTTCGGGCAGCCATGAGAAGAGCGCCTCTTCGCACTCGGAGACTTTCTGGAGGAAAACCTTAAACTGCAGCTTCTTCACCGCTTCGGCATCAGACCGATGGGTGAAGGCTGCCGAGTCCATGTCTTTTTCGAAAATCTCCGGAGCCATGGGCACTTTGCCCAGCAGCTCTGGCTGCGGGAACCACCCAACTTGTTGAGACCCGGGAGCATCGATCCAGTGGTTCTGTTCGGAATGGCTCCGGGCGGAGGACCACTCAACCTCCGCCTTGCACCACCCGCGATTTCTGTAAAGAACCCGGTTCGCAACCAGCTCTTTGAGCGGACGATCTCGGACCACGGCGCTACTTGCGTCGTACACTCGCACTCGATACTCAGAATTCTTGGTCGCCGCTTCCCAGACATCGTCTGAGGTGAGGTTTTCGATGCGGAAAGTCCGGGTGCACTCATGCGCGTACAAGACGTGCATATCCTGCATCGACTGTCGAAAGCTCTCTTCTTCTGCGTTCGACTCCCGCTTGAACTGAAAGAGAGACACATAATCGTAAAATAACCACACGTCCGAGAAGTAGGCGGCATCAAAGAGAGATACGACGTCGACCAGGCACTTTAATTGATGGGCGCAGGGGTCCGGATGCTCCCGACTCTCCCACGCGTGGGACACCGAGCAGACCATCGCATCCCGAGTTCCGGCGGCCCACTCCTTCACTTCTGCATGCGTCACCAGGCCCCACTCCTCCTGCGCACACTGTTCCGAATGCGCCGCACGTGCAGTGTAGGAAAAGACTTGCAAACAAGTGCATCGTCTGAGGCCGGGTCAGCTTCTTGGCGTCTAGGCAAGAGCCTCTTCGACTTCAGCAGCTCGTACAAGTACCTGGAACCGCCAATCATCCGACACGCAGCATCTCACGAAAGAGCGACAGCTAAAGCAAAGTCTGACTTGGTGACACGATGTGACACGGGATATTAAGAGCTGACATTATTTTAGGCGGATGTTGGCGTGGTTGAGGTACTCGGCCAAGCTCTTGGGATCCGTCAAGCTGTACTGGGCCTGAGGCATTGAACACATGGGCAGATCTCTCTAAGAGACTCCTGCATGCACACGACCAGATTGCAGCGCATCGCGTCCCTTCTGGCTGGGCCGCTGGCAGATGTGGATGAAGTCGACTCCGGAACCTGCAGGTCGGGATTGAAGCTGTTATGGCCCACACTTCTGCTTCCTGCACCATGGTACGGAAACCTGGAACCCCGCGTCAAAGTCGGACACAGTGAGTTCGGCCTCGCAGGTGGGAGAACTTTTTTCAAGCGTCCCCAGGTCTCGTTGCATGGAAGAGCGATATGGAGGGCAAGGTAAAGCAAGCGGAAAAGTAGGGGAGCTCCTCTTCTAACCCTAACCCGCAGCCGTAACCCCACAACCGCGCTCAAATCCTGCACTCCCTAAACCCCCTGCTTCCTTCTGTCCAGCTCATGTTTTTGTTGGAGGGATTTAGGGGTCAAAACCGGGTTTCGGGCACCTTGTGCTTCGGAAGGCGCCCTGCCTCGGAGCCTGCCGAAACGTAGCATGGGCGCTGGCAGCAGCCTTGGTCGCATTTGGGCTTGGGGCTTGGGTATAGGGATGGTGGGCGTACCAGTTCTTGGCCCTTTTCGGGATTCTATACAAGAGTTCCGCAGGCTTGCGGGCCTTTTGCATTTTTGGGGGGCCCAAAGAAGAGTGCAGATGGGGCCTTTACGATAAGAGCTCCTTGAAGGAGTTCTTTTGATGTCTGATTGGGGTTCTCTAAGAGCTCTGCTTTTGCTCGTGGAGGTGCTGGGCCAGCTGCTTAGGATGTCTTCGGGTTGCAGATGCTTGAGGATCCCAGGTTTCAGGCAACAGGGTTTAGGGTTTAGGGCTTAGGGTTTTGGGTTTAGCGTTGAGGGTTTAGGGTTTAGGATTGAAGGTTTAGGGTTTAATGTCTTACTAGTATGTCACGGGCCTGGCGGTGCTGCCAGAGCCCCCCCCCTTTAGAATTTAAGGAATCAAGACCTTCGCCTGAAACTCTATTCTCCAGGTTGGCCCTTGAAAAATTCGAAAAAAGATATCAAGGCCCTTATAACAAAACACTAAACTTCACTAAACCCTCAACCCCAAGCCCTATCGGATGAGAGAGTCAAGGCCGGAGCATGGCTTTGATAAGGTTCCGAAAGCAGGAGGTTCCAGGCTTCTGTTTGCTGCTCTTCGGCCTGAATTAGCTCTCTCTCTCTCTCTCTCTCTGTCTCTCTCTCTCTCTCTCCCCTTTGCTCTGGGCAGCGGGCCATAACTGGACATAAAGCTCAGGGGAAGTGCCACCCCGCCGCTTCCCAAACAGTGGTGCAGCTTGAGCCCTGTACCACAGGACCGACACGCATTGGACAGGAGAGCCACTACAACTCCGTGATTGTGCTCCATACCATGAAAACTGTAGAAAACTGACTATTTTTGGTGTGGCGATGATGCGATGCGAGTGATTCTTACGACTGCGAATATGATTGTGTATGCTTAACGTGCCCCTTACGAATGGAATCCGAAGCGAAATCCTCTATTTTACACACCTCTTTGAACCAGTGCACTCAAGACCCCGCGCCTCACCTCGGTAAGCATTCCCAGACCTCCCTACCCGCCCTCATTGAGAGCCTACACCCTATCTTGCATCCTTGTTCATCTTCTGGGCGCAGTGAACTCCAAAGCCAAATCATGATCACAGACCGCAGCCTTAAGTACCCAACAGCCTCTAAAGCCACAACCTTGACTACTACCCTCGACCTACTATCCTCAACCTGAGCCCAAACAAACCCCTAAACCCTCAACCCCAAGCCCCAAAGAACTCAAAACCTACACCCTAAACCCTCAACTCCAAGCCCAAAGAACTCAAACCCTAAACCCAAAGCCCAAGGGAGCTCAAAACCCTAAACCCTAAACCCCAAACGCCCTAAACCCTAAACCCTCAACCCTGCCTCTGCTCGCTCCCTCGTCGCCGCTGGACTCGCGCCCTCTGGGCCGACTCAGGACCTGGCGCGCACCGGTCCCCGCAAGGCACAAAAAGTTTAGGGTTTTGGGTTTATGGGGTTACTAGGGCTTCAGTTTTAGGGCTTTTGGCGTTTAGGGTTTAGGGTTTATGGGGTTGAGGGTTTAAAGTTAATGGCTTGAGCTTTGAGGCTTGGGGTTTAGGGTTTCAGGGCAAACTTTCGGAGGGCTTCCGGGCCACTGTCGGAGTTTGAAGGCATCGTTGCGGCTTTTGGGTGTCCTCTGGCGCTTGAGTGATTCACCACTCTGCTGGGGTTTCCGGACCAAACCCTAAACCCATCTCCCATCCAAACCCTAAACCCTAAACCCATCTAAACCCTAAACCCTGAACCATAACCTTTAACAGAGTCTTGTGGTTTGGTGCTGTTGGCCTGAAGATAGGTTCGGGCTGGGCTCGGGTCGGAAGCCACCCTCGTACGACCCGAAGCTTTCGGAAGCGCCCAAAGCCGCGAGAATCATCCACGAGCCAGGAAGCTTTTCTTTTAGGGGCTCGGGAACTCTGGGAAAAGAACTGGGTTTAGGGTGTACGGTTTAGGGTTCAGGCCCAAAGTGCACAAGTTGGATGCGAGCTCTTTTCCGGAAGGCGCTAGTGACGCGTCGCAGCGGCGTCGGAAGCACGCAGGAGGCGGAGGGCACCCGGAACTCGGCTTCCATGTTCTCCTACTACCACAAAAACCCAGAGCCAACATCTAGTTGAGCCCATGCAACACTCTCATGAACCCCTATAAACCCTAAACGCTAAACCCTAAAACATGAACCCTGGACCCCCACGGCAAAGTGTCCCCGGGCCCTCTTGGCCATTGCCAGAGCGTTTCTTTTTCGGAGAACGTCAAAGCAGTCTCCAAGCCGAGCATCTTTCCCACTTCGAATACTCATCACTTGGGGAAGTCTGGGTTCCTGCTAAGGGATTTTTTGTTTAGGTTACCATAGTAGGGATCTATAGTAAATAGTATGGTTTCCTTGTCATGGTCACCTGAATAAAATCAAATCACAAGAACCCTTAACTTACAATAGATCCCCATTATGGTAACTTCAATTAAATCCCTGAACAAGAACCCACTTGGGAAGCTTATGGGGGGGCTCCACCAGGCTGCCAGGATTTCTCGGACCATTGGGGCTGTTTCGAGTCTCCCTGCAGGTTTGGGCAGGGGCTCATAGCCTCAACCCGTAACCCTAAAACCCTAAACCCTAAGACCGTAAACACTAAAACCCTAAACCCTAAGACCGTAAACACTAAAACCCTAAACCCTAAGACAGTAAACACTAAAACCCTAAACCCTAAAACCCTAAAACCCGAAAACCCTAAACCCTAAAAACCCTACAATCCCTAAAAGCCCTCTATAAACCGGTGCAGGATTGCAGTGGCCTTAGCCGGACGAGGCCATTTCAGGTCGACCGGCGTCTGTTGCTCGGCTCAGGAGCCGCTGACATCTCTCTGCGCACTTCCGCACCCATGGGAGTGGCTCTCTAAGTTAGGGGTCCCTTTTTGGGGGTCCTTGTTAGGGTTTAGGGCTTATAGGGTCTAGAGTTTAGGGGTTAGGGTTTAGGGGTCTTTTTACAAGAGTGCCGTACTACATTGGGGACCTGAAAGGGGACCGTACTTTGGAAAACTACCCACATGGAAGGATCGAGAGCTGCAGAAAGCACTGCCCTGCCCTCATGCCCATACTTACGGAGCAACAGGTGCACAGAGGATAGCTGAATTAAAGCGTGAAAGCTACCAAAAGTCAACCGAGACCCGCAATCCCGAAACTCTCCAACTCAGTCAAACCGCACCTGCGAGGTCCAGGGCTGCAGACTCGATCAGGGCTTGCCGCAGGGCGGTCCGGGCAAAGTGCGCGACGGATGATTTGACTCTTTTGGAGACTAGAATATACAAGCATACTATACTCGAACATACTCTAATATTCTGATATATACGATAATGATTTATCTATATATGTTTTTATATATGTATGAGCATGCATATATATATATATGTATACATATAAACACTACAATATACTGTAGTGGGCCCCCTGCAAATCTTCTCGGCAACGCTGCGCGGGCTCTTTGGCTGTGTGCGAAGGTCGTAGATGCTGCCGGCTTGCAGGCTTCCTCATCCTAAACCATTCTAAACGCACCCCAAACCCGAAGCCCAAAATCTTAAACCCTAGACCCCAAGCCCAAAACCCTAAACCCTAAACCCTAAGCCCTAAACCCTAAACCCTAAGAGGATCTTCATCCAGATTGCCCTCACCGGTGCAAGGCTCACTTGGGTTCTGGCCTCGACCGCATTTGATGCTGGGAGTTTCTTGGGCCGGAGGGTGCGATTTAAGGCTTTTGGGGTTTGGGGCTTAAGGTTTATGGGGTTTAGGGTTCAGTATTTAAGGCTTTTGGGGTTTGGGGGTTTAGGGTTTAAGGTTTAGGGGTTTAGGGTCCGTTTAGTGGAAGCGGATTTGCCCCACTGGCCCCGAGCACCTCACGAAGATCGGGATCAGGATCGAGAATCAAGAAAAGCGCAGCCTCAGTAGGGCAGGTGGTGCATGACGGGAGTCACCGTGCCAGCGCACCCTCAGAAGTCGCTCTCTCTCCGGACCCCGCCGGGCCTTCCTCCGGTATCTTCCGCGAGGGCCTGTGGAGGACGAGGCTTCGGAAACCGCGCACGAGCCCTGCAAACCGCCCAGGCCTTCTCCCAAAATTCCCAAAAGGAGTGGATGTTTCCCGAAAAGCGAATTTCGCAAACTGCTGTGTTGATATTCAGAGCCTCGGCAAAGGCCTCGCAGGGAAACGGCAAGACAGCGGTGGGAACCAGCAGACCCCTCTGCTTGTGCCAATCCCTGGCACCACCGCGCCTCCGCACCCTCCACGCCGATGTTGTTGGCTCGAAGGTTGATGTAGGTGAGGGTTGAGTTGCACGTCAACGCTTCGCAGATCGCCTCGCGGGAGAGAAACCCTGCTCCAGCTCTGACCCGCCTGAAGCCCTACCGGGCCTCCGCACCCTCATCGCCGATGCGGTTGTGATCGAGGCTGATGCTGGTGAGCGTGCAGTTCTTCATCAGAGCTACTCCAATCGCCTCGCTCAGGAAAGCAACCCTGCTCAGCAGCGCTGACCCGCCTGGAGCTCTACCGGGCCTTGCTACCCTCCACGCCGATGCGGTTGCCTTCGAGGTTGATGCTGGTGAGTGCAGAGTTCGTCTGCAAAGCTTCGCCAATCGCCTCGCTCAGGAAAGCAACCCTGCTCCAGCAGCGCTGACCCGCCTGGAGCTCTACCGGGCCTCCGCACCCTCATCGCAGATGAGGTTTCTTTCGAGGTCGAGGCTGGTGAGCGTGGAGTTACTCTTCAACGCTTCGCAGATCGCCTCACGCGGGAAAGCAACCCTGCTGCAGCACCTCTCTGAAGCCCTACCGGGCCTTGCCACCCTCCACGCCGATGTCGTTGCCGTCGAGGTTGATGCGGGTGAGGGTGGAGTTGGTCTTCAGCGCTTTGCCAATCGCCTCACGCGGGAAAGCAACCCTGATCCAGCAGCGCTGACCTGTCTCAAGCCACGCAGGCCTTGCAACCCTCCACACCGATGCGGTTGCTTTCGAGGCTGATGCTGATGAGGGTGGAGTTGGTCTTCAAAGCTTCGGCGATCGCCTCACGCGGGAAAGCAACCCTGCTCCAGCAGCTCTGACACGCCTGAAGCCCAACCGGGCCTTGCCACCCTCCACGCCGATGTCGTTGAATCCAAGGTTGGTGCTGGTGAGTGCGGAGTTGGACTTCAACGCTTCGCAGATCGCCTCGCGGGAAAGCCACCCTGCACCTGCACTGGCCTCTCTGCAGCCCACCGGGCCTTTACTGCGGCCGTTACCTGTTCGACGTCGAGAACAGGTCTCGACGTCGGACCACTGCCATGCCGCTCGAAGCGCAACTTGCTGGGGTGGCAGTGTACATCCAATCGCTGCGCGAGGTCCTGCAGAGTGAGGGGCGCGCGGCTCCCCCGGTGTCTGATGGCGGGCTCGGCACCGGTCCTCTATGCGCACTCGCCCCGTCCAAGCTTTTGCAGCTTCCGGAGCCTGATCTGCAGAGCCCAAGCAGCATGGGCGCTGTTTCAATGTAGATCACTCAGAGCTGCACCGTGGCCGTACTTGCAGCCTGCCAACAATGCTGAGAACTTGCAATCTGGCCCGGCTCTCCCACTACAAGTTGTCATGGGTCCAGCTTGCCAGATGCGGTTCAAGCTATGCACCCAGGGGCAATCAAAGAGACAGCCTGGTCTGGGTGAAAGCTTCTCCACAGCGCGCGCAGGTATCATGCGCAGGCATGCACCCGAGAGCCTTGGCACACCAAACATCCCAGAGTCGGCACCTCTTCTGCATCTCCGCAAGCACCTTACGAGGAGAAGAACAAGTTCAAGTTTGAACGACTGGGCCACATCACCGCCTGCTTGCTGATCTTGTTGCCTTCGAGGTTGATGCTGTCGAGCGTGGAGTTGCTTTTTAACGCTTCACCAATCGCCTCACTCGGGAAAGATACCCTGCTGCAGCAGCACTCACCTCTCTGAAGCCAACCAGGCCTTCCCACCATGATCGCCGATGTAGCAGTGAGCGAGGTTGATGCTGGTGAGGGTGGAGTTCGTCTTCAACGCTTTGCTAATCGCCTCACTCGAGAAAGAAACCGTGCTCGTGCAAATCTGACCTGCCTGAAACCCACCGTGCCTCCGCACCCTCATCGCCGATGTAGCAGACTGCGAGGTTGATGCTGGTGAGGGTGGAGTTGGTCTTCAGCACTTCGCAGATCGCCTCACGCGGGAAAGCAACCTGCAGCACCTCTCTGAAGCCCGGCGAGCCTTCCCACAGCACTGACCTCTCTGAAGCCCAGCGGGCCTTGACAGCCCCCTTGCCGATGCGGTTGCCTTTGAGATTGATGCTGGTGAGTGTGGAGTTGAACTTCAACGCTTCGCAGATCGCCTCACGCGGGAAAGCAACCCTGCTGCAGCACCTCTCTGAAGCCCTACCGAGCCTTGCCACCCTTCACGCCGATGCGGTTGCTTTCGAGGCTGATGCTAATGAGGGTGGAGTTGGTCTTCAAAGCTTCGCTAATCGCCTCACTCGGGAAAGAAACCCTGCTCCAGCAGCACTGACCTCGTTGAAACCCACCGCGCCTGCGCACCCTCATCACCGATGTTGTTGTATCCGAGTTTGATGCTGGCGAGGGTGGAGTTCGTCTTCAATGCTTCGCAGATCGCCTCACGCGGGAAAGACCCTGCTCCAGCATGCTCCAGCAGCGGTCTCAAGCCCAACCGGGCCTTGCAACCGTCCACGCCGATGTCGTTGCCGTCGAGGTTGATGCGGGTGAGGGTGGAGTTGGTCTTCAGCGCTTTGCCAATCGCCTCACGCGGGAAAGCAACCCTGGTCCAGCAGCGCTGACCTGTCTCAAGCCACGCAGGCCTTGCAACCCTCCACACCGATGTCGTTGCTTTCGAGGCTGATGCTGATGAGGGTGGAGTTGGTCTTCAAAGCTTCGGCGATCGCCTCACGCGGAAAAGCAACCCTGATCCAGCAGCGCTGACCTGTCTCAAGCCACGCAGGCCTTGCAACCCTCCACACCGATGCGGTTGCTTTCGAGGCTGATGCTGATGAGGGTGGAGTTGGTCTTCAAAGCTTCGGCGATCGCCTCACGCGGGAAAGCAACCCTGATCCAGCAGCACCAACCTGTCTGAAGCCCAAAAGCCTTTCCGCCTTCACTTCAAGTCAAAGCTGTTGACTCCCCCGTGCCTCTCGTCGAAAACCATATTCATGCTCATAGCCAAACCTCGGGCCATGTATCTCGAGCTCGCGAATCGTTTGGTTCGATGTCAGCGCCTGGCATGCGAATGCAGGCTCAAACTGTCTTAGACCTGCCAAGCCCGGCCTTCGCGAACTCCCCAGCCTCTGCTCGGCCTGCCTTAAAGTCCCGGAGCCTCAGCACCCTCAGCTTCTTGAAGTAAGGCAGGGCCTTTGCCAGCTGCCTCAGCTGCCCTTCGGGCAGACACTGGAAGAGCGCCTCTTCGCACTCGGAGACTTTCTGGAGGAAAACCTTGAACTGCAGCTTCTTCACCTCTGCGGCATCAGACCGATGGGTGAAGGCTGCCGAGTCCATCTCTTCCGCAAAAATCTCCGGAGCCACGGGCACTTTGCCCAGCAGCGCTGGCTCTTGCAGCAACTCTGGCGCTGGCTCACTGACTTCTTGCCAGTCTCTAAAGTGTTGTCTACTTTCGGGAGCATCGATGCAGTGGTTCCGCTCGGATCTGCTCCGGGCCGAGGACCACTCAACCTCCGCCTTGCACCACCCGCGCGTTCCGTATGGCACCCGGTTCGCAACCAGCTCTTTGAGCGGACGATCTCGGACCACAGCGCTGCTTGCGTCGTACACTCGCACTCGATACTTAGAATTCTTGGTCGCCGCTTCCCAGACATCGTCTGGGGTGAGGTTTTCTATGCGGAAAGTTCGGGTGCACTGATGGGCGTACAAGACGTGCATGTCCTGCATCGACCGTCGAAAGCTCTCTTCTTCTGCGTCCGACTCCCGCTTGAACTGAAACAGAGACACATAATCGTAAAACAGCCACACGTCCGAGAAGTAGGCTGCGTCGAAGAGAGACACGACTTCAACAAGCCTCTTCAATTGGTGGCCGCAGGGGTCCGGATGCTCCCGACTCTCCCAAGCGTGGGACACCGAGCAGATCATCGCATCCCGAGTTCCGGCGGCCCAGGCCCTCACTTCTGCATGCGTCACAAGGCCCCACTCCTCCTGCGCACGCTGTCCCGAATGCGCCCAAACGTGCAGTGCAGGAAACGACTTGCAAACAAGTGCATCGTCTGAGGCCGGGTCAGCTTCTTGGCGTCTAGGCAAGAGCCTCTTCGACTTCAGCAGCTCGTACAAGTACCTGGAACCGCCGGCGAAAGAGCGACAGCTAAAGCAAAGTCTGACTTGGTGACACGATGTGACCCGGGACATTTACAGCTGACATTACATCCCCGGCGAGCACTCGGCCCGGACCAGGCGGATGTTGGCGTGGTCGAGGTACTCAGCCAAGCTCTTGGGATCCGTCAAGCCGTACTGGGCCTGAGGCATTGAACACATGGGCAGATCTCTCTAAGAGAATCCTGCCTGCAAGCACGACCAGATTGCATCGCATCGCATCCCTCCTGGCTGGGGCGCTGGCAGATGTGGATGAAGGCGACTCCGGAACCTCCAGAGGCCGGGATTTAAGCTGTCATGGCCCACACTTCTCTCCAGTGGGACGAGCTCAGCTACACTCAACTTTCAAAATTGTGGGATCCATCCATGACTTCTG